TTCATAATTTTATTTTGCAGGATAACAAAGCCATTGACCTTTGCCGACTGTGTTGGGGACGAACTTCCTTTAGGATGGGAAACTGTGTATGATAAACAAATTGGAATTTATTACATGGACCACATAAATAGTAAGTAGAGTGCCAAATTTGTGGCATTATATGTGAATGAGTTTTCATGTTGAATCTCAAAGACGGTAAAAGCTTCGTGTAGACTGAAACAGTCATTAATGGCCAATGAAGCATTAAACTGAGGTTTATAAATGTAATCTGAAGTTTTCATTAGCTGAGTTCTTTAAAAAGGGAAGCAGTTACGGAGCTGTGCTTTGCTTATGTCTTGCTGAGGACTGCATGTAATATGTTTGATGAAGGGTTTTTAATATCTAATATAATGAATAAATTCCCCTCGCAGTCGAAATAGAAATACCTCTCATAATGAAAAAGTTGTTTATTGCAAATGGAACTTACACATTCTTGGAACAATAAGTGCCCACGTGGTTACCTTAACTTCATTTTTTCTTATACATGTAACTTTAACACACCAAACCTTTTTCGTCTTTTGTGTGTGTGTGTGTGTGTGTATGTGTGTGTGTGAAGGGAGGAAATGGCATAAAGATTATAGCTAAAATAATGGATATTTGACCATGCCAGCTTCCTTTGTGGGACTGTCTGGAGCAGTGGTTCTCAACCTGGGTTGATTTTGCCCCTCGGGGACACTTGGTAATGTCTGGAGACTATTTCTTTGATGGCTGTGCCTGGGAGAGGTGATCTTGGCGTCCAGTGCGTGGAGCCCAGGGGTGCTGCTAAACATCCTGCACGGCACAGGACAGCCCCCTCCTCCCCAACAGCGAATGAGCTGACCCCAAGTGTCAGTAGTGCTGAGGTGGGGGACTCCTGATTCTGAGGCCCTGTTTTATTCTAGATGTGTTCTCCGCCCCTCACTCTTGGCTTTCTGCCTCTTCCCCAGCCTTCCTGGATTGGGTCTCAGCCAGGGATCCATTTCTCACTCCCTCCTGTTTTCATTCTAGCTTCCCTCAGTGTTTTTGTCATTGTCATTTAACGACTGGGGACATAAAGCATGACTCCCCTTGGTTTACTCTCTGCCCTTCGATTTATTAAGTGCGGGGAGGCTGGGGGTCTCAAGAGGTGTGATACTCCCTACCTGAGTGGTTTTGAAGCTCTTTCTATGTGCTGGTCCTGTGGCTTCTTGTGTCCCTTAGTGTAAGTGACCCAGGTTGGTATCTTCAGGGCTGATTCCTGCATTGTCAGTTGCCGGCAACCTTTCGAGTTTTTGAGTCTTCCTGCCTCAGATCTCAGGGCAGTGGGATTTCTGATGCCTGCGCCCAGCCTTGCGTGCCATTGCAGCTGTTAGCCAAAGACTAGGTGGTGGAGATTGGAGATGGGGCATGGGTACCGTCCTTGCCCGCTGCCCTCCCAGGCAGGTATCCAAGGGGTAGGAGAGCTTCAGGGTGGATCCACCACCTATTGGACAGGGTGGGTGCCTGGCAGAAGAGAAGCCGAGGGGCTCCAGCTCACCAGGTGACCCTCTGCTGGCCCAGCAGCTTGCATCAGTATGTTTGGGTAAGTGTGGCCATCTGGGGCTTGGCTTCCTAGGTAATGGCCCAGGGGACAGCTCTGGACACATGAGAGCCACTTGCTGCTCAGGGCTGCTGTATTATCGGCCTGGGCACACCTGCACCATGGTGTCATCACCAGGCTTCATCCTTCCCAGGGCCAGGTGGTAGGGATGCTTACTGAGTGGCACAGGCATCTTCATACACAACCTTCTAGAAGGCCTGCTGGGCTGGGGCTGGATGAAAGGTTGGAGCTGGAGGTAGGCAAGAGAGCTGGAGAGGGAGAAAGCAGGAGCAGGATGTGGGGAAGCCAGGTGAGAGGAGAGGATGCCAGTGAGGAGTGAGCAAAGACTGCATGGCCTGGCAGGGAGGTGGCCCGGCAGGGAGGTGGCAGTTCATAGCGGTTCATAGCGGCCCACGTGCACAGAGTCAGTGAGAAGATGGCTGTAAGTAGCTATCCGTGTGACGGTTCCAAGCTCATTTGGGTTCATCTCCAACACTTAAAGTGTGGTCTTTATTGGTGACAAAATAGTCATGTGTTGTCTTCTCTCCTCCAGTGGACTATTTCATCTCTGTAGAGTTTTCTTCTCAACTGTAGATATATAAATAGAAGGTGTTCCATACTTTGGAAAGGTTCATGATGTAGAATCTTCCCTAATGTGCATCCTGGTAATTAATTAATTTTCATATTGGCTAATATGCATGACTATTGGTCAACCTAAAGATTTTACTTTTAAGTCACTTGTGTTCTTGCCCTTTTAATTTCAGAGCTTACCCAGATTGAGGACCCCCGAGAGCAGTGGAGGCGAGAGCAGGAGCGCATGTTGAAGGAATATTTAATTGTAGCCCAGGAGGCTCTCAATGCCAAGAAAGAAATCTACCAGATCAAGCAGCAGCGGTTCGAGCTGGCTCAGGAGGAATACCAGCAGCTGCACAAAATGTGTGAGGATGACAGCCGCTCCTACGCCAGCTGTGAGTTGACTTGTCTCCTTCAGTTAGCGTGTGACTTTAAAAGCCATCTCTGTGGTAGGCTGTCTGCAAATGCTGAACTTTCCTTGGGCAGGACAGCTTCGTGAAGGTTCTAATGGCATACTGTTAGGCAATGAGTGTTCTGTACCAGAGTGAGATGGGCATCTGGTAGCCACTCCTGTAGCGAAGATTTATCAAGTGCCTACTTTGTGCCCAGGCACTGGGATATGGCGGTGACTAAGAAAGGAAAGGTCCCTGACCTCATGGAGCTCACATTCAGGTAGGGAAGGTAAAAAAAAAATAAGCCAACATATAAAATTGCAGGTAGTGACATTAAGCAACCTCCTGTGTCAAGTTTGTTAGTTTTGAAGAGGGCTTCCATTAGAGATCTCTGCAGTTACTGCTGCTTGTCTGGGATGATCTCTTGGGAAATCCGCACGGTGGTTTCGTGAATCCTGGGTGGAGAAACTCAGGAACCTTCGATCTTGTCAAGTACCAGTCTCTTTGTAGAGACCTTTCTTGGGCTTTAGGCTTTATTGGGCAGTACCCTGAAGGAGGAATGCAGTATAACCCAGAGAGTCAGGGGACTCTCTTTATGCCCTTCAAGTAAGATGACTGTCTACTGCTCTTC